TYYTTWWTTTTTYMWTTTMTTTTTWTWTTTTTTTTGCCTTAGAATCCACCCGGCGCYGTCAAGCTTGTCATGGAGGCCGTGTGCATCATGAAAAAYCTTAAACCAGAACGTAAACCCGACCCGTCCGGCTCTGGCCGAATGATCGARGATTTCTGGGGTCCTTCACAGAAGATGTTGGGWGATATGAAGTTCTTGGAGTCTTTGAAAGTGTACGATAAGGACAATATTCCTGGACCTGTGATGAAGAAAATACGAGAAAAGTAAGTCTGATGTGACTGACTGTTCTAATTGCTATAGTGTTGTAGTGATCCCTTGAGGACGAAAGGACAAACTTAACTTTCATGACTTACTATCAATGATGGTCATGACTAATTGTTCAGTATTCAGTGTTGCTATTGATGATGATGATAATTATGGTGATTGGTTGGTTGGTTGGTTGGTTTTCTTGGCAACGTGAAGAAATACGATGGTCATGCTGGTAAGTTCTCGTCATGTACGCCCGACCTGTATAGCATTTTTTAAGATTGATTTTTAAAGCCATATTGGCATGATAGGGTTTGCTTGCGATAATGGAATGTGGGCCTACGATGTTTGGTGAGTGACACCCTTAAAACTGTTAGGGAGGGAAAATATAAAAATGACTTTTAAAATCAATCTTTATTCATAAAACTGTTTATACTTATTAAAGAAAAAAGAAAAGAAAGAGAAAGTCTTAAGTTTTACCTTTTAGCCAATCTATCAATCTATGTATTATGTCGCGTTTGGACCACCGGAAGTTAAGAATTTTTAAAATAATTAACTATTGGGTTGGCTGTGTTATTACATACCCGGTAGACAAGATGTCTCCAAGTGATATCATATCTAATACGTTTTTAATTTAAATTGTTGACCTCTCAGGCCAAGAAAATAAATACTTTTGAAAAGATGCCTATAAAATAATCAAAGTCGCCTTTTTGTTATTGATAAACAAAGTTTTTCTTGTTTTAATTTGAAATCTTTGCCCAAACAATCGATCCGCACATGCGATCCGCACATGCGCGTACTTCTGATGGCTAGACTGATTTCGATGAGATCACAGATACCACATTTCTAAACGAATAGTTTATCAGATAAAAGCGAAAGTACAATCTGACATTTACTAACGATATATTCGTACATCTATACGTTTGAACTTCCGGTCATTAATTACATGACCTCAAAATTTAGATTTCTATCGTTTTGAAGTCGTTGCAGAGTGAGCAGTCAAGAAGAATATCGTATCGTGTGAATAAACGGTCACGCATTCTTGCTTTCACTATGTATTAGAAGTAAAAAATATAATATTCTACGACATGATATACATTCAAAAATAGCTAGTCCGACTTCACGCTCCAAGAGCGTCTAGTTCGGTTTCAAAAACGTCATACAATTTTTGTTTTAATCGCATTAAAATATGACATCATATCATTTTAGAGCATAAAAAAACTACATAATATGACAAAAATTTAGCATTGTAGAGCGTTTCGTTGCGGAGTTACACGCAAGATTTGGTAAAAATGCATGGAGAAATCCAGACGGCGGTTAACATCTGGATTTAAAGGCTTACAACCGCGACAATAAGTTGAAGTTTTTTGACATATTTCGTAGAATATTCTTACAGTCAATAAAATGTGTCTATATGAGGCAACTAAACGTTTTATGCACATCGAATTGTCCTTGTGTTTCATAGGTCCGTGACGGCGTTGCGTGACAGGGCTTGTAACACTCATTTTTGTTCTTATTTAGTAGAGTCACAGGAAAAAATCTATTACTTTTATGATATAGCATTTTGAAATTTTGATAAAAATATGGTTTTATTTTAAGATGAGTACACAGATTCACCTTACATTGAGCGCGTATTACGTAAGACGGTAGAAAATGTGCAAATTTAGAAATTAGACTTAGTAAAGTATTCAGGAGACGACACACATATTCACTGCAATTTTTTTGTGACGTCACATGAAACCCCAAAATTGCAAGTCAAAGAATGAATATAGCCTTTTTGACACTATTTTCTGACTTGTTTTCTTTCCCGACAAAATAATGGGCTCCTGTCTGTGACGCCCTTGACCCTGCATAAAACAAAACGATAGAAACTTCCTTTATACTTTGTTCTGCGCGCTGGTGTCAGATTAACCGGAAAGAAATGTGATATCTAGGCTACTGGGCTGCCTGTGGTTGCGCCACTCCCCAAATCTTGTAAAATTCATCTAGAAAAATGGATTCTCTGAAGGAATTTCTTCTCCCCAAACGATTCAGCGTGTATGGATACATCGTTGCTGTATTCAATGTATTGGCTGGAGTCATTGTTACCTTTATAACGGGTATTAAATCGACTGAAAGACGACAATTTCAATGCAACAGCCGTGGTATTCTGGCTGACAAGGACTTCTTGACTACGAAGTGTTTTAATCAGTACAGTCGAGAATACAATGCTTCTCTACCGCTGTATGGCTTTGCATTTGTGACTTTTACTAGTTTAGTTGTTGTTTGTATTATTTATTCTTGGTGTTGTGTGAAATCTCGAGTGGAACAAATCGAACAAGAACTGACACCAAATCAAGACAACCAGCGACATCCAATCAGGAGTCGCCGTATTTATTTCTTTTATTTGTTCCAGTTGCTTGTACGATTTGGTTTTGGGGTCTTCTTTGGAATGTTACAATTAACGGGACTTTATCCTTCGAATTTCCCTTCGCAATTCCAGTGTCAATGGAATTCCAAAGGAACAAGTAACGCAAACTTAAATGTAACGCATTCTAATTCATCGTCAGTAAAGTTTATTAGCTGTCAGAACTCATTTGCTGCAGAGAAAACTAGTTTGGCAAATGTTATATGGATACTGCATGTAATCTTTGCATGTCTTGTGTTGCTGGAAGTGTTTTGTCTTCTTGTAAGAGCTAGACATGACAAGACTTTTATGAGAGACTTAGAATTTTGTCGGGGGCATATTTTCAACAGTCAAAGAACTCCTTCATCGCGAAGAAAACTTGTTGCTCGGATATTGGAACGGACAGAGCATCTTGAACCGCTACTACCGACAGATCCAACTGAAGATGACAATAGGAGAGCTATAGACGATGTTTATGTCGAACTTGTTATGCATTCTGGTCGAGTCACGCATGACTTTGACATGTCAAAAAAGAGACACGAACTCTTAGACGTCTATCTTAAACCACCAGAAACTTCGGTTAAAATAAATAACGTAAATGAACTTTTTGTTTCTGACAACAAATCTTATCGAAATATTCTTATCGTCGGTCGTCCAGGAATCGGAAAGACTTCGTTATGCACGAAAATCATACGCGATTGGTGCAAAGACAGAAAGAATCAATACGAGTATGTGTCGTTATGCACGAAAATCATACGCGATTGGTGCAAAGACAGAAAGAATCGATTCGATTATGTGTTCTTGTTTCGATTTCGACATTTGAATGAAGAAAGATTCAAAAAAATATCACTTCTGAAATTTCTCAACGAAGCAGAACACTCCATGAATATAGACCCAGCTATTTTRCGAAACAAAGCGAAATCAATGTTGTTTATCTTTGATGGTTTCGATGAATATAAGTATGGTGAAAACTTGATCAAAGACAAGTTGAAATTCAGTGCGTTAAATGGATTGACAGATGAAATGCCCATAACTGCTGTTTATGCAAAACTTTTACAGAACAAACTACTACCTGGGGCCACAATTGTGACAACTTCAAGGCCAAATGCTTTAGACACTCTGAGAATGTTAAAGGAACCATTTGACAGAATTGCTGAAATTTTGGGTTTTACTCCAGAAAAAGTCAAATCGTATGTTCACAAGTTTTGCAAAGATAATGAAACCACAGCAAGCAAGATTTGGCAGCATATAGAAAGCAATGCCAACTTATTGTATCTGTGTTACATTCCAGTAAATTGCTGGATCGTCTGTTCTATGTTAGATAATTTCATTAAAAGTCATAAAAGCAGCTTGGATACTTTGGTTCTACCCACCACTCTTACTGACATCTACAAAGGAGCATTGCGGCTGTTTCTGTTCAAGCACAATCCAGAATATCAACAGCAAATTTCAATCAGTGACTATACCAATGATACATTTTCAACCACAATTGAGGAAGTTCTGTCCAAACTAGGAAAACTGGCAAGGAAAGGAATGGAGGAGAAACGACTGGTTTTTGAGATGGAAGAAGTTCGAGGATTGGAAAACTGTGGTTTACTCAACTGCATGCCAAGTAAAAATAATCCTGCATTTGGATATGCTCGAGCTTCACAATATTGTTTTATTCATTTGACACTTCAAGAATTTCTTGCTGCCAGAGAAATTGCAAAGACAAATGACCTCAATGAAGTTGTTCAGTTTATCAACAATAATGCAACCAATGCTAACTGGCATCTTGTAATTCAATTTCTTGCAGGATTATTGCAAAGACATGCTTTTGAAGTTTCCCTGTGCTTTGAAGAGATACTTTGCAAGTCTTTGATCAAGAAGGTTGATGCAGGTCTAGCTTTGCTGATGTTCAAATGCTTTTATGAGCAGAACAATGAAGAAGTTGCAGCTAGAGCTGTAACTAAACTTGAATCTGATAAAGAATTCACTGGTGAAATAGAACTGTCAGATTGTGATGTGACTCTTCCTGATTGTACTGCTATTGTGTTTGTTTTGAGGTTCTGTGAGACTCATCTTTACTCACTGAAGATTTGTGAAAATGACAACTTTGGTGATCATGGCTGCTCAGAACTTGTCAAGATATTCTGCAGTGAAGTGAGTAATTTGGGCAACCATGACACATTCAATAAAACTGATGAAGACATCTGTATCAGTCAGACAAACCATGGTGATGAACTGAAATGTGGAAACTGCTATCTTACCCAGTTGAAGTTGTCCAGTAATGAAATAACTGATCAAGGTGTATTGCACCTGAGTGATGCACTCAAAAGTGAAAACTGCCATCTCACCCAGTTGGACTTGTCCCGGAATGAAATAACTGATCAAGGTGCATTACATCTGATTGATGCACTGAAAAGTGAAAACTGTCATCTCACACAGTTGAACTTGTCCCAGAATGAAATATCTGATCAAGGTGTATTACACCTGAGTGATGCACTCAAAAGTGAAAACTGCCATCTCACCCAGTTGAACTTGTCCGATAATGAAATATCTNTCTACAATTTCTAAACGAAGCAGAACACTCCATGAATATAGACCCAGCTATTTTACGAAACAAAGCGAAATCAATGTTGTTTATCTTTGATGGTTTCGATGAATATAAGTATCGTGAAAACTTGATCAAAGACAGTTCGCAATTCAGTGGCTTAAATGGATTGACAGATGAAATGCCCGTAACTGCTCTTTATGCAAAACTTTTACAGAACAAACTACTTCCTGGGGCCACAATTTTGACAACTTCAAGGCCAAATGCTGTGGACACTCTGAGAATGTTAAAGGAACCATTTGACAGAGTTGCTGAAATTTTGGGTTTTACTCCAGAAAAAGTCAAATCGTATGTTCACAAGTTTTGCAAAGATAATGCAACCAAAGCAAGCAAGATTTGGCAGCACATAGAAAGCAATTTCAACCTATTGTATCTGTGTTACATTCCAGTAAATTGCTGGATTGTCTGTTCCATGTTAAACAATTTCATTAAAAATCATGATAGTAGCTGGGATACTTTAGTTCTGCCCACCACTCTTACTGACATCTACAAAGGAGCATTGCGTCTGTTTTTGTTCAAGCACAATCCAGAATATCAACAGCAAATTTCAAGCAGTGACTATACCAATGATTCCTTTTCAACCACAATTGAGGAAGTACTGTCCAAACTTGGAAAACTAGCAAGGAAAGGAATTCAGGAGGAACGACTGGTTTTTGAGATGGAAGAAGTCCAAGGATTGGAAAACTGTGGTTTTCTCAACTGCATGCCAAGTCAAAAAAATCCAGCATTTGGATGTGCTCGGGCATCACAGTATTGCTTTATTCATTTAACACTTCAAGAGTTTCTTGCTGCCAGAGAAATTGCAAAGACATATGACCTCAATGAAGTTGTTCAGTTTATCAACAATAATGCAGACAATGCTAACTGGCATCTTGTAATTCAATTTTTAGCAGGATTATTGCAAAGACATGCTTTGGAAGTTTCATCTCAGTGCTTTGAAGACATACTTTGCAAGTTTTTGATCAAGAATGTTTATACAGGTCTAGCTGTGCTGATGTTCAAATGCTTTTATGAGCTGAACAATGAAGAAGTTGCTGCTAGAGCTGTTACTAAACTTGAATCTGATAAAGAATTCACCGGTGAAATAAGGCTGGTTAATTGTGATGTGACTCCTCCTGATTGTACTGCTATTGTGTTTGTTTTGAGGCATTGTAAGAATCATCTTTACTCACTGTCAATTGCTGAAAATAGCAACTTTGGTGATCATGGCTGCTCAGAACTTGTCAAGATATTCTCCGGTGAAGTGAATAATTTGGGAAACCATGACACATGCAATGTCACTGATGAACACAACTGTGGTATCAGTCAGACAAACCATAGTGATGCACTCAAAAGTGAAAACTGCCATCTCACCCAGTTGAAGTTGTCCGGGAATCAAATAACTGATCAAGGTGTATTACACCTGAGTGATGCACTCAAAAGTGAAAACTGCCATCTCACCCA